TCTCTTCAGAGTGCAAAGGCAATTCAGATAGAGGGTTAGTAGACTGAGTATTCAGGTAAAGGAAGATAGAGGGGAATTGTAGGAATCACATCAGTCTTGTTTTAGGTACCTCTTGTCTATAATTTTTCATTATTAGCCTTTCGCACTGAATCTTTCAATGATGCTATTTTGGAATTCTGAGGCCTTTTGAAGGCTTTTGCATACAAATTAAAATAGGTATCATATTCCAATTGTTGATTTGGGAACAATCAAGTACACTTCTTGAATGATCTTGTCTAATTGGAACGTTCCCCATAATGACCATTGTAATTCTATGTTGTCTAGTAAGATTTTGCCGTTTTTGTAGATACAGTCACGCATTGCTTAACGATAAGGATACATTCTGAGAAATGCGTCGTTAGGTGTTTTCGTCATTGTGCTCATAGAGTGTACTTAAACCTAGATGGTATAGCCAACTACACACCTAAACTACATGATACTGATCTTATGGGACCACCATAATATGCAGTCTGTCATTGACTGAAACGTTGTTAGGCAGTGTATAACAGTATCTACAGCTTGCAGGACCACAATGCGTAGACAAAAACTAAGCAGGTATGGCAGAAGGTGGTACACTCAGTTATTTAAAACTTCAGGATGCCATTTCGTTAGCTAAGCCTTGGGACTCTCAGAACCAAATTAATACCTAAGAGGGATGCACCTCTGGGTTGGGGATTTTGTGGTGTTTTACAACGTACCTCATTTTTCTTGAGGTTGGCAGGTGACCTCATATTGATCTAACCTGTTCTGTGACCAGCTTATTCTAGCTTTAGGCTTAGTTGGTGCGTGCTCTAACATCTCTTAAGTGCTTGACCTGTGCCCACCAATTTTGAAGCTTTGGCTTCTGTGATTCCCGTGAGCAATAGATGTATTATTCCTTTCACTAAAAGCTTTCTTTCTAAAAGTGGCAGGCACCCTAATGGCTGTTAACAGTCTGACTTGTGCCTACTTAGGTTTTCTTGTGCCATTGGTTAAAACAGTTTAAATTTCTTAAGTTTATTTCCCCAAGTCTCCCTGCACTGTATGCTGTAGACTTAGCCTTGGGGTTTCACGAGTCCCCTAACTGCTGCCATCCATTGCGGACTCCCACTGTAACTGTCCTGGAGCCTTTCTGGGAACAAACTTTGACACTTCATGCAGTGGGCAGTCTCTATTCCCTAGGGTCTAGAAAACTGCAAAATGGGGCAGAAGGCAGGAAGCTTTTATAGGATAAAGAATAAGGGACAAGGAAGTAAGCATAGAGCCCAGAATTGGCTTGGCATTTGGGGACTGGCTGACAGGATATACTGCATTTCTGGTCAGGCGGAGCACTTGCAGGGACACGAACGTTATTTCAGTTTGCTGATGTGGCACCCTGGGCAGGAGCGGCTCCATCTTAGACCTAGAAATTTATTTCAGCGAAACTATGGCCTGTTAATCAAATTCAACCTACAGCTTACTTTTATACACCCTGAAAGCTAAGAATGTTTTTTATATTTTTAAAGCCTATGGAGGGATAAATGCAACAGAGACCATATGTAGCTCACAAAGTCTAAAATATTTAGTGTCTGGCCCTTTACAGAAAAGGTTGCTTGACCTTAAGATGTTCGTGCCTGTTAAATATTGAAGCAGGAATATAAACCCTCTCATGTACATAGTTTGCCAGTGGGGGACATTTTGTTGTGATTGCAGTGAGTTATTTTCCCACTGCAACATGGGGGTGGAGGCAGTAGGTGAGCCAAGCCTTGGGGTCCCCATTTCAGAGGTCTCCACAATAAGCCTGAACAGCAATAAAAGACTAAATCTAAAGGTAAGCCTTAGGTGTTTTATTTCCACAGCATACCTAACCGAGTAGAGTGCAGTGTGCACAGGTGTGACATCATGCATGCAAGCAGTTGCTCAACAAAGGGCAGGTAAATAATTACGTGATGTAGGAGAGCTTGCTGCACTCTTTAATTTTTTTATCACATCGTGGGAATCAAAAATTCCTCCCATGGAATAATGAAGTAGAACGAGAGAATGGGAAAAATTAGTTTTTTCCCAGCTTCTTAGTGATTATATACAAGACTCGTACTAATTTAAGCACACTATTTTTATATAAGCAAACTATAGAGGCCACAGTTTAAGTAAATATGCTAATTTTAATAGTGAATTTGATGACTATCGTTTTTAAAGGCTTAATGATACCACCCCCAAGTCCATGTCTTAGCTACAAAGTTTCAGTCCAACTCGTGCTACAAACCTCATGGGAGAACATCAACTATGTATGCATTTTGTCTGAGATTTATTACTCATATAAATGTTAACACTTCATATAAAGGAAGAAGCCACCTTCCCCCTACACATCTCCCGCAGACATTTTTCCAGTCTTAAAGTATATTTTATAAAAACTCTATATATAGTCTCCCAGTGAAGAGATCAATACACAGTTAACCCACCCCATTCTCATGTGCCTTATTTTTCACAAATACGTAGTTTCTTAATTACCAAGTAGCATACAGAAATTAAACCAGGATTTTAAAGATGTGCCACAGCTCTTTGTGAAGATAAATGCATTTTTCTTCTCTGGTAAACATAGGTTTGCAGGTCTTCATTTAATTTGCTGGAATAAGAAGTGATTTAATCAATACATTTAATTAAAGAAAGTCTCCATTCATACAGCTGTCTGGCACTAGAAACTAATACTATAAGGTTCTTTAATAAACTTGTAAGGAATTGAGACCCTAAGCATCTACGTTTGTGTACCTGACAACGCAATGGCAGCTTTATACTTCAGTTATTCTAGTGCAATACAAACATTCAGGAAAAAAATGACATTGTAAGTATCCTCTCCGAAGAGTTTCATCAGAATGAATTTCTGAGAGTAACTCTAAAAGTGGAATTACTACTATTAAACTATTGACTGGGTTGGTTCATCCAAATTGTTGGGATGCTGTCTTATCTTGTTATTGGAAGGAAGTTAAAGTTTTTTGGCATATTTTAAACATTTCTAGAAGCTTCATTGTGTCAGTTACTAGGTAGTTTCATATGTTAAGTGCTGACAACACTGAGATACCCACATACACATTTTAAGATTTTCCCAAAGACATATAGCCACTGAGTGGCAGAACCATCATACCCATGCCTATACAATTGTATGTATTGAATCTCCATGTAAAGTTGTAAGTAACTGATATTAAAAAGCCTTGTGAACAGACATGCAAAGAGAATTTCACCACAATGTTAAAACCAAGTCCCAGTCAACAGAAGAGGGAATGGCCCTTTGTAAGTGAATGTGACTTGAATTGGAAATCCATAGAGCACATTAGATGGTGAGGTAGGTTTGCTTTTATATGTATTGTTACTACTTAAAAAAATAAAACAATGGAAAATTAGTGTAAGATTTAGCAGCACTTAATTTTGCAATATAAAGTTGCAGATCCACTGTTCCTTTTTACAAGTTATACAAGTTTATACAAGTACTCGGCTTCCCTTTGCCTTAGTTTCCTCATTTATGTGAAAGATGTGATTATCCTTTTATTTAAAATTAAAAGGAATCATAAGAATCATCTAATTCAGTCTCTGGCTTTAAGCATTCAATGAATGGGTCACCTTTCCAGGTAAGGAACCTAAACAAAGCCCTAAATTCAGAATTACATGACAGATTATCTAATCTGTGATTAAAATGCATATTACCTTAAAGATAAACAAGCAAGGGGAAAAAATGGAATAGCACATTTTGGACCTAAGAAAAAAATCGAGACTGGTATAATAAGAGTTTTTTCTTCTTTCTTTACTCAGTAGTGCCTGCCTTATATCTACTCACAGACAACAACACATCTGTACCAACACAACATGTGGCTGTGCATTACTATGAATAGGACGTGGGAGAGAGGGCAAGTCACATTCCGCCATAGAAGCACCATGACTTTTTTCACAACCTTATTAGAGGTGGCAGCTCAGATCAACCAAACTATATACCTAACCCCAACTGTTCTCCCTACATGTGTGTACATACACATCCCTTTGCATACCAGCAACAAGCTTTGTATTTAAGGCAGGATAACAAGAACCACCACCTTTGAGATATTTTGGAATGACCATTTTTCACTGGATCCAACCATAAGGGCAGAGGGATGCAACTTTGCCCCTCAGAACATACCTTATACTTCTGGGGTATCCTTTTTTATGTACTTTGTGAAATAGAGTGAGCAGTTGGTGTCTACTGACTGTTAGTATTGGATGGCAACTAGTTCAGCACTGAAGTTTTTGTCTCTGCTCTTATCACAGGCAGCCAGTAGTACTAGGGGAGAGGTAGCTGGACCAAGGTGTAAAGATCCTGTGATCCTAAAGGCAACACAAATAGCTATTTCTGCTCCTTGGCCAACTTTATCTTTGCAGCAATGCTTACTTACATCCAGATAGAAAAGTGTGAAAGGTGGAATGCTGAGGCCGCTGCAATATCATTCATCCTAGGCCCTGTTCAAGATACAACTTTTTTTTTTTTTACTTTTTAAATTTTTATTGAGTTAATGATAGGTTACAATCTTGTGAAATTTCAGTTGTACATTATTGTTTGTCAGTCGTGTTGTAGGTGCACCCCTTCACCCTTTATGCCCACCCCCCACCCCACCTTTCCCCTGGTAGCCACTAATCTGTTCTCTTTGTCTACATTTTTAAACTCCTCATATGAGTGGAGTCATACAGAGATTGTCCTTCTCTATCTGGCTTATTTCACTTAACATAATTCCCTCAAGGTACAACTTTTACAGGAAGCAAAGGGTTGAAGTGAATAATCGGTTAACTTCAATGCTGTTCAAAGATACATGCAGGAAAAGTAGATACACAGTTTTTCTGTTGGAACCCACTAAACAAACATATTGTGTTAGCACACATTTGGACATCATTATGTCTGCTTAAAGGATGAATTTCCATACTCCAAGCTTAATTTCCTTTGGTCAAAAGGTGGTAGTTGAAAATACTTAGATTCCTGTATCGCTTACCTGTAGGGCCCGTCCTTTGGTCTCAATGGGAAGAGTAAATGCAGAAATGGCACACACCACACAGACAGATGAGAAAAGACACAGGGCCCCCAGGATTGATGCGCTCATAAGAACCTGCAATTCACAAGGAATGATTCCATTTATCGTGCCCCAGTCACTTCTATACTGATCTTTATGTCAAAGGGGAAATAAGGAGTCACCTCACCAAATACACAAATGAAGGTCCTTTGCAGCCATTCTGTAAATTGTGCGTTCCTGACATCTTAGGTCTATTCTTTATTGGGACCAAACTATTGTAGGTGTTTCGTGTGATTCCTCCATGAGCTGGGATTGACATTAACATGTGCTGGCTGGGTTAGACTTTTCTCTGCGCCCACATGTTAGGCATCTCCAGAGCAAACCAGCACCTGGGGAGGATGTGAGATCTGCTTGCGCTTTTCCACCTCCTCATACCAATTCAGCTTGCTTAACTTCTTATCCTCTCATTTCATGGAGTACCCCTTATGCCAAACATACGCTTTCTCTCTTCAGCTATGACAGGATGAACCAGGAGAAAGTTTGTTTTTTGTTTTTGTATTTTGCAGGGGATGTAATCTCATAGTCTCTGAAAAGATACCGTGTCTTGTCTGAGTTCTTTATGTTTCACGTTTAACAACCAGTCAAAACTTTTTCTTTGGTGTCCATTTTTCCACAGTAAGATTGGATTTCTGCCAATTTATATGCATCCTTTGGCCTGGATCTTCTCACCCTGATATTGGCTAGTTCAGACACTCCATCTCATACGTCAGTTTCCCCAGGACTCTGCCCAAAGTTAGCAAAAAGCTAAGCAATTGGTAGTTGTCAACTAACCTCACAAGGATGGTTAACTGAAGTGATTAAGGAAAAGCAAGGCTCTCTAGGGTCACAGAATATTGCAATTTGGAGAGACCTAGAAACTATCTGGTTTAGTCCAACCTCCTTACTTTATAGGTGAGTCTAGAATAAGGGCTAAGTGACTACTTGTCCAAAGTCACAGAGATCCCTGACACACAGCCTAGTGCTATTACCACCACTCAGGTTCTCCTAAGATACACAGTTTGAGAGCCCATCCTGTGTATAAGGCCTGTTGCCTTCCAAAAAAGTAAATCTACTTTTAATGCAAACAGAACCCATGATATTAACCTCATTAACTATTTTGTAGTTGATCTAGTTAAGTAACAGGTACTGTTTTCTTATTTTATCTCCCAAAATAAAATGTTACAATTTTCTGCAAACAAGAATTGGGGAAACCAGGCTCAGGAAAGGGAAAAGGGGTAGAAACTAAAAGAGACCATACAGTGTGACCCATGACCAAATTATGCCATAGTTGGGCATGTGTCTAGATTCTGCCATTGCTGCCACTTCAGTTATTTGACACCAAAATCCTTGATACCACCAGAATGAATTCTAAACTATCTCTATCTCATATCCTTGGCACCAGAATCAAAGTCCTAGGTGGTGTGAGAACCTAATGGGTTGAGTTTAGGTCATAACTGCTCCACTGGCTAGAATCAGGGAGAGCAACTGCTTTGTCCCTTTAGCTTCCCTACAGGGACAGAAGACTCTGCTTCCTAGCAGGACTCTAGCAATCCAGTAGATGTTACTGGATATTCTTCCAATAAATTCCTTTCTGCCTAAGTTAACCAAAGTCAATTTCCATTGTTTGCAACCAAGAACTCTTGAGTAATGCCTGATTCTAAAAATAATCCAGGAATTTTTGTTAAAATGCAGATTTCCAGGCCCCACTCTAGATTCACTGTATCAAAAAGAAAGATCTGTTAATCTCTTCTTCTAAATATCAGCCCAGAACAGGAACAAAGAAGGACATTACACAATGATGAAAGGTTTAGTCCAATAAGACAACAATCCTAAAGATTTATGCACCAAAGAGCTTCAAATACTTTCAGTAAAATCTGAGAGATAAATCCACATAGAGTTGGAGACTTCAGTAACACTCTCAACAATTGATAGAACTACTAGACTGAAAATCAGAGATATAGAACTTTATGATGCCATCAATCAGCCAACAGGATCTAGTTGACATTTATAGAACACTCCACCCAACAAACAGCAGAATACAAACTTTTTTTACTGCCCATGGAACTTTCATCAAGACAAACCATCTCCTGGGCCGTAAAATGAACCTCAAAACATTTAAAAGAAATGAAATCACATAATGTGTTCTATGACTAAAATGGTATCAAGCTAGAAATAACAGAAAGATACCAACAAAATCTCCAAACACATCTAAACAATCCATGTGTCAAAGAAGTCTCAAGTAAAATAAAAAAATACGTTGAATGGGATGAAAATACAGCATATTAAATTTGTGAGACACAGCTAATAGGAAGAAAAAATAGGAAAACAATCTGAGAAATGTATAAGACATATAAAGAAAATTATAACTACTAAGGAATATGAAAAATTGAATAAATAGTTCTTAGAAAAATGTGAGAGTTATGTCAGCATCATGGTAGAGTGAGTTGTTCCTTTAGTCTCCTCCCCCTAAGTAACAACCAAACAGACATTCATTAACCAACAGAGGATTCCCTACAAAGCACAATCAGATATCTGAGAGGTCCATTCAGCCATACATCTGAAGGTGGGGGTACTGGATCCCCAGGAAGCAGTGGAAGGAGGTGAGTGCATCCCATCCCACTCCCCAGCAGCAGTGACCTAGGTCGTGTGCACTCACACAGCAGCCAGCACATGACTAGGGATGTGGGGGAGCAGGCAGGTCCGTGTGTGAATGCTTTTGCTGTCAGAGTTGCAGCCCTGCTTGCAGGAATGCTCCACACTAAGTGGTATGGCTCAGCCACCACGTGGGCACCCTCACCAAGCATAGTAGCCCAGGTGAACCACCCATGAGTGTAGGGCTGGACCATGTGTGCAAAACAAAGCTCCTCTCCCCTCACCTTCTGCCTAGTGCACCAGCTCAGCCAGTCCCCACCCAAGGCAGCAGTTCCACACCAGAGCCACCTGTGTGTGCATGTGTGACCCATCAAGAGCCTGTGGCCAATGGGCAAACACAGACAAACACTATTGGTACAATTTCCAGTGGACATGCCAAGTTCAAAACAAAACAGCTTCTGCCTCCACACCCCCCAAGAGGTGGCAGGTGGAATCTGTGACCTGATACTACCACTATGCACCAGCGAAGGATCACTTCATCAAATACCATGAAGACCTACATTAACATTCCAGAGCAGAATGAAAATGACACGTCTCTTGAAACCAATCCTGAACTCAGAAATTTACAGTCTAAATGAGAGAGAACTCAAAATAGTTGTCATAAACATTCTGGGGTTACAGAAAAACTCAAAAAGACACTTCAATGATTCTGGAATAAAATTAATGAGCAGAAGGAACTCATCACCAAAGAAATTGAAACTCTTAAAAAAAAATGAAACAAACTCTGGAGATGAAGAACACATTGAATGAGATAAAAAACGATCTCGAAACCTTAAAAAAAAAAAACAGCTGATATTATGGAGGAGAGAATTAGTAATTTAGAGGAAAAAATATAGAAATGCTTCAGGTGGAGGAGGAAAGAGAAATAAAACAAAAAAATGAATAGACTCTTCATGAAATATCTGACTCAATTAGGAAATGCAACATAAAGATTATAGATATTCCAGTGAGAGAAGAGAGGGAGAAAGGAGCAGAGATCTTGTTCAAAGAAATAGTTGACAACTTCCTAAACGTGGGGAAGAAACTGGACTTAGAAGTATATGAAGCCAATAGAACTCCCAATTACAGCAATGCAAAAAGACTTTCTCCAAGGCATATATTTGTAAAACTGGCAAAAGTCAATGACAAAGAAAAAGTGTTAAGGGCAGCAAGGCAGAAGAGAATAATCTACAAAGGAGCCCCAATCAGGCTTTCAGCAGATTTCTCAGTAGAAACCTTACAGCCTAGGAAAGATTGGAATGATATATTCAAAATACTGAAAGACAAAAACTCAGCTAAGAAGACTCTATCCAGTGAAAAAACTATCCTTCAGATATGATGGAGAAATAAAAGCTTTCCCAGATTAAAAAAAAAAAAAAACTGAGAGAGTTCATTGCCATTAGACCTCCCTTACAAGAAACGATCAAGGATGCCCTCATACCTAAAACAAAAAGGCCTTCATACCTAAATGCCCTCATACCTAAAACAAAAAGTCTTGAGCAAGGAGATAAATAGACAGAGAAAATCAGAAAATTGCAACTCTATCAGAACAGGTTATCAAACAATTATAAAAGATTAAGGGAAGGAAAACATCAAAAATACCTATAAACACTTCATTTAAATGACAAACTCACAACACAAGACAGAATGGTTTGTGGCAACAATAACATAGAAGGGGAAGAGGAGAGGGATGGAACCTTCTTAGGCTGATGGAGATAAGAGGCTATCAGAAAATGGACTATCTCATCTATGAGATCTTTTATAAAAACCTTGTGGTAACCACTATACAAAAACACAGAGCAGAGACACAAAGCATAAATAGAAAACAGAAAACCACAGACAACCATCCAACGGAAATGGCAGTCAGAAATACGAAGGAAGAGAAAAAAGGGAAATATAGAACCACCAGAAAATGAGATAAAATGACATGTGTATCAGTAATACATTTCTCATATATCAATAATCACTCCAAATGTAAATGGATTGAATTCTTCAATCACAAGACACAGAATGGCTGAATGGGTTAAAAAACAAGACCCAACAATATGCTACCTCCAGGAAACACATCTCAGCTCTAAAGACAAACACAGGCTTAGAGTGAAGGGATGGAAGATACTTCAAGCAAATAGCAAGCAAAAGAAAGCAGATGTTACGTGCTCATATCAGACAAAGCAGACTTCAAGATAAAAGAAGATAATGAAAGAAAGAGGGGGGCAGTCTATAATGATAAAAAGAACATTCAACCCAGAAGATAACATTTATGAATATATACACACTTAACCCAGGAGCACCAAAGTATATAAAGAAACTATTAACAGACCTAAAGGGAGAAATTAATAGCAACACAAAATAGTAGGGGACCTCAACACCCCACTTACATCAATGGATAGATCATCCAGACAAAAAGTCAACAAGGAAATAGTGGA